AATCTTTAATATATTATTTTTCTTTTGTTATTGAAATTTATTTCTTATTTCACTACGTCACACTACAATAACAATGATAAAGATATATTATTTCAAATAAATGTTTTTCTCCATAATTAATATCATTATTGTGCACATTTGTTTGAATGCAGTAGTTTTTGTGCAATATTTTTGGAAATCATCCGGTACTTTAAAACATATAAAAGTGCTATTTTATAATTATATTATTACCATATTCCGACGAATGGCCACCAGCTAGTAATTACCAGAATCGCCTGTTGGGGGCCTCGCAGATATCGTGCTCTTGCGAGCTAAGGGCAGTGGAATCTTTCGCGATGTTGAGAGTAAATCCAATAACAAGAACACATACATCAGTTCAACAGGGTTTAATAATTTTTCAACACTTTTCGTAGCTTACAAAATCACACCAAATCGATACGAAACACAATAACACACAAAATTGAATCCCTTTCAATGAAGTAAGAATTAGTCGTTTAAATATTCGCACAAATGATCACTAGGAATTTCTGTTGTTACTCTGAGTAATTAAATTTGCTACAGTTTCTATTTACATTAACCAAGGACACTATATATAATTTAACACTCTATTCAAATATCTTTACAACAAAAAACGTGTGCAGATGCACCACACTACAACAATTTCGCCAACAACATAAATTAATATTGATCTATTTACAGTTTCATAGGCAATAGTGCTTTTAAAATGGCAAGAATCTCTGAATGACACTCAGAAGCCTCTCCCTGGTCGCCGTGACTTTGACCTAATTTTCGGCGCTTGCGCGCCGTTACCTCCCGCAGCTGCGACCTCCGTGCTCCAGCGCTCGACTTTGAAGCGCCTCGGCTTCCGCGCTGCCGATCGTGGGCCCCTGGGCGCCGGTGACTTCTCGCTTCCCTCTTGCGTCGTCTTCCGCGTCATCTTCTGCGTCGTCGTCCGCGTCGCCTTCTGCGTCGCCTTCTGCGTCGTCTTCTGCGTCGCCTTCTGCGTTTCTTCCGGGCTCCTTTCGTCCTCGTCTGCTTCGTCCCCCTCGACATTTCGTTAACGCCCGTGTGCAAATGTTCCTTGCACCGCACTTCGTGCATATTTCGCGCGTACGCGTAGCTCTCGGTCGCAATGTTCCGAATTTCGCCGCTGATTGACATTTACTCGATCTTAGCACGAACTATTTCCCTATTGTACTGTCCTCAGCTCCACAATAACTGGTAGGCAAAATTATCTCCTCGCGTCTTGTCCGTGCGTTATATTCATGCACCATCATCATATAATGCATACAATAAATCGTGTATAATAAAAAATGTTGATATTCATAGTATGACATAAAAAAGGATTGTTTTTTGGTTTAAATGTTGGTGGTGGTGGTGGTGGTGATGGCAATGCAGGAGATTTATGACCATATACACTTTGAATAGCTAAACTATCGTCTATAGGCAAATCTAATATTCCGTGATAATAAGCATACATTATCTCTTTTCTATTAATTGTATGTTCTGTAACGAATGCATGTCCAATTTCATGAATAAAACAGAAAATAAATTCTTTTAACCTTGTGGTGTATCTGCATCTCTATTATAATAGCAATCTTCATCTAAATCAAAATGAATTTCTAATGGAGAATTATATGCATTAGAAACTTTTTCATGTGCTAATATACCACCTTTCTATCAAATTTATTGAAACACATATGTTGATCAGGCTGACATTGATGTTCACCACGTTTATTCGATACAATTATAGCAGGATGTAAAATATCTCTCTCTGAATTTAAATTTGTATGAGATGATATATTTTAAATGCCGATTCAGTTAAATCTAACATTGCCTTATTTACATTACTATAATACCATTTATAGTATTCTTACTCAGTTTCTGTTATAAAATGAGTATCTTGCACACCACATCGTGATTGATTCTAAAATCTAATGTATTACTATTTAACTCTCCATCTAATGGTAATTGATAATATTCTTGAAATTTAAGAAATGCGTCGCTATCATCACCATTTCCTGAATTATGTCAATAGTTCGCTAATTTTTGTATCGCTGATTCACTAGTAGCTACTATCATGTGAATAATACACGGTGCGAACGATAATAGTTTAAACCACATTTATATTATTTTAATTCGATAATATTTTATTTCAATAATTTCTAGACCAGATTTCCATTCAATAATTTCACGTTTCTTTTATCAGCAATAGGGTATTCACGATTTTCCACTAGTTCAGTTATCTTTTTATGAATTTTAACATGATATGTAGGTTGGTTCAGTTTCAATACAATGTGTTTCTAAAGGGATAATTATTTATAATTTCCTTCTAAATGGAAATTTATAACGAAACTGAACCAAGCTACATATCACGTTAACATTCATAAAAAATAACTGTTCCAATGGAAAATCATGAATATTCTATTGCTGATAAAATAAACTTGGATAGACAATGTGAGAATAATAAATTGGCATTGGATATAAAAATTGATAAACAAGATCAAATGTTTAATGTAATTTTCCCTAATCGATGTGTTAAGTGTTCAAAAGTAAACGACATAAAAAATATTTTAAAAGCTAAGAATTTGAGATTTGTATATAAAGTATTTATGACAGCGGATATTACTGAATTAACGTTTTTACATGATTGAATTCTGTTGAATATATAATATTGATATTTTGCTGTATATTGTTAAAATGGAGTACATATTGTTAAAACTGATTTAGAATAGTTTGAAAATATATCAAAAAATCTGGTACAGTGGTTTTTCAAAATTTCCACAAATTTCTGCACCTCAAAAACACATAATAATGGGGATATTTTGCATAAAAAGGGATAAAATATGAATACAGTTGAGTATTTTAATACGATTTTAATGAAAGAATGGAAAAATTAAAACATCTAAAAATTGTGGTACCCAAAAATCTGAGCAAGGAGCACTGTTTACATACTACTGTAGGAAGTTAAACATTTGAAAACTACAAAATTGAAGATAGAGAGTTCGGACCTCGACAATGTATGTTGTGAAACTTAATAACTCTATAAATAACTATATAACTCTATAAATAAGGTTATATACACGTTTCTGATAAAACGAATTTTGCGTTACGGGTGCTTGAATACAGTAGTTTATAAAATAAAATCTTTTCTCTAAAATCATTCCACATTTTTTCATAGAAGAAGGAACGTATAAAAGAATAGAGCGGGTCTCATTTTAGTTGAACTATACATTTTCAAAAATTACAAATTTAGAAATAATGTGAGAAAGTATGTGCTATTGTTAGCATATCTAGTTTCTGCAAATTTTCGTCTCGTATGTATCAAGAGGCTATAAAAAATATGGTGTTGTCCCATTTTCTGCGAACTTTCGAAAAAAACAATTCAAAAATTCAAACTTGAAGATTGCGAGTTAACTCGGAGGACGTGAGTCCGAGTCTAGTCGAGGAAACAAATTTTGCTGGTTGACATTTTTGCACGTTTATGTAGTAGTATAATACAGCAGTCACTGAGAAATAATGCGAGAAAGTATGTGCTTTTGTAGCTCTACTTGTCTGTTTTTCGCAAGTACCTATCTAAAACCATAGACACGCCTCACATGGCGGGAGACTGTTTAGATTTCTTTCATTTTCTGCGCGGTTTTAAAATTACGAGTTTAACTGGAATTACATAAGGCGCGCCAACTCTAGACTTATCTCCATCTGTGACCAGAGGTCACCGTTACGAGTTGGTCGTTTTAAAGCAAAGCACGATGTCCGCGGACAGCAAACTGGTGTGTGTGCAGGATTTTGAAGATTACGCTCGCAGCATTTTACCTAAAAATGCCTTGGATTACTACCAAAGCGGTTCGGGGGAGGAGTACGGCCTGAAGCTGAACAGAGATGCCTTTCGATGGTAAGTAGATGCGGCGTTGCGTTTCGCCACGTGCCTAGCATAGCCATCTTTTCAAGTTGGAGCCTCCGGGTTATAAAAGTAATCTCCGGGCTCTGGGTTAAAATAGAAAATCTCACAGTTATACGAACAATTAATCAATTTAATTTTTTTATTATTTGTTAGCAGGCCATCGCAAAATATAATTATAATATATTATAATATATTAAGTTATTAAAAAAGTTATAACAAATAATACATGGAAGTAGATTTTACCAAACATTATAAAAAATAAACTAATCAAACAAAAAAAATATTCGTTATTGAGATTGTAATGTATAGTCAGACTAAAAGGTATACATCGTTGCTAACTAACAAATAATTTATTAATACAATGTAGAAAATAATATACAATCTGCATTATTCCAAAGAAAATACAATTAAAAGTACACTTTAAAAGTGCTTGGATCGGGGGCTTCCAGAAGGTGCATTCGTTCGTCTGTGCAGGCTCCGCATTCGGCCGCGCATGTTGCGGGATGTGTCGCAGCGCGACCTCTCGGTGACGGTGCTGGGCTCGAAAGTGGGCATGCCCATCGGGGTGGCGCCCACGGCCATGCAGAGGATGGCGCACGCGGACGGAGAATGCGCCAACGCCAGAGGTAGGGCAGCACCGCAAACAGTACACCCGAGACTAGGGATGCCAACTATGTTCGTGTAAAAGAGTGGGCAATCGATAAGCAACAAATACAATCAACATATTTAATTTTATAAATAATTAATTTAGACTAACATCAGCTCAATTTCTTCTTTGCGTTTGCGATTCAAGAGAAAATATTTGTTCACAAAATGCAGATGAAGATGGTCTAAGTGTCCCTTTTTAATTTTGGTCGCTAGACAGAGATACTATCATTGCATGCGTGTGTCAGCGTTCAGAAAAAGAGAACTCATGTTTTCTATTATAAATTAAACAATTAACGTTATAACGTAGAAAATATTAATGTGATAAAATAAATGACAACAAACGTTAAACATTGATTAAAAGGATGAAATTTAAAGTACAAAGAAGGACGAAAGCACAAATTGACGTCAGTGGAGGACTGTCCCCCCAAATGGAGGACGGTTGGCAACCCTACCCGAGACTGCCTGACTGGCTGCTTGATTGATGATCTCGGTTACGTCAACTACTAAGGTCAATAGTCCCGTAAGTGTTGTGCGTGCATTTTATCGCGGGAGGTGGCGGCCGCTGGCGAGTTTCGGCCCCGACCTACGACAGCTTATAAATCTACAGTACGCTTCAGCTGTCCGCCATATGTATCAACCAGGAATCTCCCAACACCGTGGCACCGCCGCAGTCGGGACAAGCTCTAAACTCCCGACTGGTGTCCTGACAAGTGTGATAGTGTAGTTCATCTGAGTGTGGCTGTACGTAAGGGGTGAGGAAAGGCCAAGGAAGAGGAAGAAATGATTAGGCGCGGTTCGTTGGTCAGAGTACTGCTGCGGCATTCGTCGTGTGTTGATCGATAAAATCGCGGAAAACTACCGACCAGAGCAGCCGTTAGAATTCTCCTCTAGCAGCTGAATGCCACCCAGCTATATCGAAAATCCTACCATTGTCGGTACTCGATCCCTAGGATATCCCGGTCAGAGGCTCCGCAATGACATATGTTGTTGCCTTGCGCAACATTTGCCGGTTTAAACGTAATCTATCTGCTGTATACGCCAATTATCAGCCTTTTCCGTTGATTAATAAAATGCGGGAATGACGTGTGCGTCGACTGCTTGGGTTAGGCTGCCTAAAACAGAATGCCAAAACAAACTACCTTCGACATCTATCGTCAGGAGCCTAATTTAAAAATAGGTCGTTTTTCCACACACACACACACACATCACTTTTATATAACCATTTACAAGCCTAAATGCAAAACGAAGATTTTGATGGATAGGTCATTTTAGCACTGAGTGCTTCAACTATGGAAATATCTTCATGACAACAGTTTAATTTTTCGTATTCCTTGAAAGAAAAAGTTATGCAGAAAATGTTTTGTAAGTTCCTGAGTTCGAAAAATGTGTATTTTCTTGTTCCTAAGCATCTTAGTAAATTATTTTCCCAAATATTCAGTATACCCAAAATCAACGTGTTATGGGACATAGATACAAAACAAGTGTTTTTCTTCCTTGGGTCCTGAACATTAGAACCTGAACCGCACACAGCATTTTCACCAAAACTGAATTACCCGATCGATCTCGATGATGTCGCAATGATTCAAATGTGAAACGAATCTTTTGCTTTCTTGAGATACTTTACATTAGATTTCTATGAACTTTGCAAAAATTTCTCGAAATGGCTCCAAATGTTATCTTTACAATGTTTGGTCGTAAAGCATTTAAAATATTATAAAAATGACACATGTCGGATTTTTATTAAAATTCCGAAATTTTCATAATACGTGATGAGTCATCGTAGTGAGAAGGGAAATACAATCCCTTTTTTACGGGTCGGGAGCGTTGTTCGAACGCAAACAGATGGATGGATTAGTTATTTATGCACCAAGGGCGCTGTAAGGGTTCTCGTGGCCCAATGACCTCGTGCTTTTTGTCGCCTCTCAATCATTAGAACCAGTGAAGTCCCGTGGTACAATTATAATTTTATTTTATACCTAATTTTATTGATTCAGATTTACTAATTAACTAGGTGTTAACTTGACTCTGTTTGCCATTTCATATTTAACACCTATAATTCTGTTTCATAATTAAGTAAGAGAACATTTAGAAAATGTTCTCATATTTCCTTCCTCACCACGAGCCTTTTGATTCTGGAAAGTTGTGCAGTGAACATCAAGCTCCGAATCGAAGGCAGTAACAGGCATTAACGTACCAGTAAAAAATATAAGTTTTTTGCACGCGGGATCGTGTGCCGGGATGTGAGACTGCCCCGGTAAATACTTTTTGCGTGTTGGAAACACTTTTGCGGTTTCGACTAGTTATCATCGACTTATAACCCTTACAATTAATAAGAGAAAGGATGTGCTGTTTTACACCACTAGTTTTGCTTTTAAATATGTGGTGTGTAATCCTTACATACGGTGACAAATTAATTAAATAAAAATTGGTGGTATTAGTTTCTTTTTGTGACATTATTATTATTTTTATTAGAAAGTAGTAAGTGAAATCTTATCAGTTAGTAAGTTAAATGAATTTCAAAAATTAACGGCTTCCTTTATGGATCTTATTCCGTGCTTGACGGTAGCAGGACTGACGGCTGCATAGTTGATAGTGGTTGGTATATCGTAAGAGACCACACACATGCTGTGGGAATTGGAGAGCAAAAACTGAAGTATCTGTTATCATATCACTATTATCTGATTTAATTACAGTTACTTCTGGCGTTTGATCAGCTATAATGCGAACTGAAAAAAATACGATATTCGTGCCATAACCACATTGGTTCGCGATCGACGCCGCGTGCGTTTTATCGGCTGCCATCTGTCGATTCCCTTCTTTATTGCCGCTCGGAGCTTATCAAGGTTGCAGCTTTTCTTTTATTGAATTTTGTTTTAGGATGACAGACGGTGCAACATTCAGCCATGAAGCTCTTCAGTTTACAAGACCAGTAATTTTGTATCAGCAAAGTGTGAATGGGGTAACTAGTTGCAGCTTCCGTTACCTTGTGAGGATAGAGGCGTTACCTCATCTGTAGAGCAATTTTATCTGAAGTTTTCACGCAAGTTCTTTGCCCTTCTGTGTGAACACTTCTGTGCATCATCTATAATAGACAGCAGAGTTTTTTTCCTTTGTCTCCTTTCGCTGACTCAAATATCCGTTTGGAAGAAGCGTTAACTCACAATGAGTTCACTTTTCACCCGTACGTTGCAGATTTTATTTTAAACGTTTCAAGAAATTTGCGATAAGACATATATTATGTTGTATAGTTGTGAAGTCTGTTCGCACAGTATTATTTATTATATTATCGCGCCATTATCATTGGCAGTGCGTCAGAATGACAATTTATGCTAAAATATATTTAAGTCCTACGTTAACAACACTACAAAAAATATGAGTAGTTTCCGTGAAATTTTGGGCGAAATATAGACAATTTTTTTCTCGAAATTGAGAAAATTTAAATAAGTAAATTTGGAGCTGTTTTTTAAAGCCTTTATTTCGGGCACAAATACACGGAAACTACTCATACTTTTGAAAAGTTGAAAAGGAACTCACATATGATCCGTCTTTAAGGTAGCTGACTACCTGAGAAAAAATCTAGAATTTTGGGTCTATATTGTTTACCCTTGTACATTTTATTTCTTTTTGCTTTTAGAGGTCAAATAACTAAAAAATGTTTATAAATAATTGACAAAAATGCAGCTTTTCACTTCAAACATCGTAACTCTAAAACAAATTAATATATTTTGATAATTATTTTCTTAAATTAAACACAATTGAATATTATAGTGAATGAAATAAAATGGTAGAGGAACTGTGAAAACTGTCAGGATTTGCATATTAGAAAAAAATTGTTTATAAATGTATTCTGAACGTTTTAGTACATAAAACTGAAACGTTTAGTGACAGATTAACTATTTTGGTTATTCACTGAAGCAAATCATGGGTTACATGCTGCACAAAGAATCTGCATCTGAAGTTTACTCACTAAGGGCTTAACAGTTGACACTCGCTGCGGAGAAAAATATTTTCTCTAAAACTAAGAAACATAGCACGAAACGGTGTGAAGCATTTAAAAGATAATAAAACAGAAAATATGACCAAATACAAACTGAAAAACAAATTTCATTAAGGTATATACTTCTATCTTGAACAGTGTAGTTGTAGGAAGACGCCCCAAAAAATTGCCTATTTTCAATTTTTAAAAAATCTGTGTCATTCCAGTTAGTGAAAACAAACTTTCAGTAAAGCCTGTTTGATACATTCAATTGAAGTGCCTAGGGTTCTCCAAAAAGCACCTTATGACTGAGTAGTCCTTCAGCCGCCACTCGAGACAGACCCACAAAACAGGGATTCTGGCTAAACCACGTGTTAGAGGATGTTTTCGTACTTTAGCAACTGGATTTGTCCACTTTTTCGTTTTCAGTGTTGGCAATAAAAAAAATTTCTGCCGAAAATCCGCCATTTTTTCGCGCAGAATTACACAAATTTCTCTATAATACGGTTATTGCTCTGTTTATATACGTATATATACGGAAAAGTGAAAACCAGGATCATTGGGTTAAGTAATCAGGACATTACACAAAAAAATCAGGACATTTTTGATAATGACTTACAGCTACAGTTTTTGTACTACAGCAGAAGATATAAATGTCTATATTAATTCTGCACTGTATGGTAAATTATGAATACGGCAGCTTTAAGAATTTTTCCTTCCTCTGTTTCAATATTTCCCTTACAATATAAGAATAAGACATACATATTGTTCTTATAGTTGAAACTCTGAGTTTCACTTCCAAAAACACTTTTTTTCTATAAAGCAGTTTTATGTTTTGTATATTTATTTTAGAAGTATTAAATTTACAATAAACAATAAATAGATGAAACAGAATGAAAATTCAGGACTTTTGACTACAAATCAGGACAGTCAGAATGTGTGGTAATCAGGACGTCTGGTAACCCGGATTATTTCTAGATTGTTTATTGAAAACTTGTGTACCTGCCTTTATACACCCGTTAACTCACATTTTCAATGCTTCTTCATACACAGGAATATTTCCTCATATTTACAAAACAGCAAAAATTAGGCGATATAGATATAATATTAGAGGCTTTTCTGTATGTGAATGGAAACTTTTCTCAGGAAAAACGAAGCGTTTAAGACTCACATGACAGGTTTAGGAAATCAAAATTTACGGAAACTGCAATTTTTTCTTTTCTTAAATATGTTCCCCTCCATACCGAATTCTTGTCGGTATCGCCCCTCAAGATTGGATAACCTCAGTACACCTTAATCATCTCGCCTCTCCACAGGAAGTATTGAAACATTGTTCCACCCTGCCACGATAAGAGACATTATCTTATTTATCAATCCTTAGGACCTATGCCTCTTTCCTGTTTTACGTAAACGATATGGCCCTCGTTATTAAAAACCGGAAAGTAACGGTTCTGTTTGCCGATGACACGAATGTTCATTGGCAATCCGAAACAATAATAAGTACCGTTTTTTGAAGTTACAAAATTGGTTTTGTAACAACAAATTAATAGTTAACGAAGGAATAAAACAGTTTT